CTTGGTAGCTTTTTGAATGCATTTGTCCACTTATGCAGTAGACAACAACATAGGGCTACTAGATGATCCTGTAAGCATAGCACAACTAGCTAGTAGACACTTTTCTTTTACAATCAATTACGATGTTGTACTATTAAATGACAATCAATTCATACTGATTATCACATCAGTCCCATTTAAGGGCAAGCAAATTAGATCAATTATAGTTTATGATTTACAAACATAAGGGTAGGATACAAATAGGCCTGGGCTGTCCTAACAAACATGCTCGTAGGGATAGATACATTCATGTCTTAGGACAACACATACACAAACTTTAATCTTCGGGCACAATCAATAAATACAAATAAGTGGGCAGCACCAGAATCAAACAGGGATCAAGAACATTTGAGTCCCTCAATGATTCATATAAATTGCTAGCCTGACATTTCAATCAACTAACCCTTCAGAGAGAGAGAGATCAAAAACATTTGATTCCCATCAATTCTTAAGTCTCCTTTTTTCTATACACTCCTTTTCTATCTTCTTTTCTTTTTTTCCCCTTTTGAATTATTCTTTTTCTTATTCCTTCATAAAATAGATAAATATCAATCATTTTTATTGTATTTTGTAAATTTCAAACAGGCTTTTTTAGAAAATAGAGATTGTTTTTGGAAGCCAGAGCTTTCTTATTCCTATTCCCTTTATTATTTTCTTTTGGTTTTTTTTCCCAAAATTCCTTTCATTATTATTTTCACTTGATATCTAACCAACTATATTGAACATTTTTTATTTAAATTAGGAAACTTCAAATTTTTAAATGATATCAATATCTCCTTTCATAGTAGCCAATATACTATGACATGGATAAGTTCAACACTTTATACTCAAGAAAAACTAATTTACACTCCATATATGAGTATGATAATTTTTAAAAGAATAATTTTAAGTTATACCCCTATTTTAAGAGAATAATTTTAAGTTTTACCTCTGAGGCTATTGTGAGAAATAATTAATAATTTAAAATTAGGATAAGGTCCATCTCAGATGTTTTCGTTTAGGAGCCGTGAGTATCTTTTTTTTATTTTTGGAGAAGTGTTGCCCCAAAAAAACATAACAATGTCAGCTCACCCATTAGCAAAGTTAATTTTGATTGTTAGTTGAGTCAATTATGCTGAGGTGGCTCTGATATGTAGGACATCATGTCACATAATACTTCGCCTATTAGGCCATATAGGCATCATCATCTTCCCTTCTCTCTTTCACCCGTACACTCCCAACCCCACCCCCTGCTTCCAAAACCTTTCCTTCACTCCTTCATCTACTCCCTTCCCTCTCACACTAGATGTCACCTTCTAGTCTTGATATTATATTCATGAACATCATGAGAAATTGATCCCCAAACTTTTATCCTTCACATTCTTCTTACCTGAAAAAATACCACCCTTATCTCCGCCATCAAAATTACCACCTCGATTCTGTTTATGATCAGTTGAGGAGCCAGAAAAACAATCATCATCACTGTTTTTCTTGAAGACTCAAATCTAAAATAGATTGGCTTGCTTCAGCTTCTTTCTCGAAGATATTGTTGGGTCATGAGAGAGATTCCTTCTCTTAATGTCCATGCTGCCGCTACAATATTTCGGTAACAATATCTTTAAAATGAAAACAAGTTTGAAAAGGGATCTCGCTCATGACCTTGTAGTGGCATGATACTACGAGGCAATGCTGGAGCGAGTCAAAGACCATACCGGGAAGCAAGAAAGGGTCAATGGCGAGCATTTAGGAGATGCTAGGAGGACCGTCAGTGTTGCAATTGGCGAGGCGAGTAGGGATGCTGATCGATGGGGAAGCTGATGAGGATGGACACTGCATTGGAAGTGATGAAGAAAGTACTGATGGAGGTATTGGAGAGAGCCAATGAGCTGCGAGTCTCAATGGTTAGGAAGGTGGTAGCAATTCTGAGGCCATCGCAGATGATGCAATTTCTGGCAAGGACGTCTCAATTTCAGCTTTACGTAGGGAGTTTTAGAACGCAGTTGAACTCGCAGTTCAGAGAGGGTTAATCTTCTTCACTCTAGTAATTCAACACTGTCGACACATCTAGTGTGAGAGGAAAGGTCAAAGCGAGAGAGGAGGTAGAAGGCGTGAGAGGGAAGACAGTAGATGAAACGGTAAAGGAAAGGTTTCAGAAGTAAGGGTGGGTTTGGAAGTGAAGGGGAAGATTGATGTAAAACAAGGAGAGAGAATAAGAAAGAGAAGACATCTAAGGAAAGAAAGAAGAGGCAGAAGGAGAAAATAGAACAGGGAAAGAAAGAGTCAGGAGAGGAAAAGAGAAAGAACAATAACTGTCGATCTGATTTAATGATTCAGGTTTGCCATAAGATGAAAATCCTAGATCTAATTATACTAAAATAATAATAAAATAATAATAACAATAATAATAATAACTAGCCCTAATAATTAAAATACTAAAATACTAATAAATCTAAATAAATCCTAAAATAATAATAAATCCAAATAACTCAGATATCCTAGAAATACAATAAAATCATATTCTTTTCAAATCCCATCATTTCTCCCCCGCTTGAAGAACTTGGTTCCAGACAAGTTACAAGTGATGCTCAAAGCTAGGGAGGGAAGGACGGGACAAAACTTTGACATGATGCTTCATTCTGAAAATCCTTTCCAATAGGCGAGGCACCAAGAAAGAAAACCTTAGCAAAAGTGAGTAGCTAGATCTTAGAGAACATTTGGAAAACCTTTCCAACAGATAAGATATTGTTGAAAAAATTTGTTCAGCAATGGGACAACCTTGGGAGGTGCAACTTTCAAATAGGGTGGCATTGTAGAATGATTAAGCTGATTCTTATTGGCCATCGTCTAAGAATAGTTTACTTGCACTTGTGCTAATTGAACAACATGAGTTGTGGGCACTACTTCAATTGGCTTTACAATATCGTCTTTTGTGTTTAATAAAGGATCTTTGACCTCTATTAGTTTGGTTACTTGAAGAGACTCTTCTGCTTTATTCTTTGAATTGTTGATGAGTTTCATAAGCTTATCAATACTCTTATTAACTCGTTTTTCAAGCTTATCAAGTGCATAATCATATGATTGCTTCCAGCAATCAAGTTTTGCTTTCAAATTGTTCTATTCAAACCTTACAATCATGTGGTCGTTACATGACATGCTCATAACAATAGTATTGAGCAATGTGATCATTATAATCAGTATGGTAGTGCACCCAGTTGGCATACTAATGATGGTAAGCAGTGTATTTAGTACAGTCATGATCAATGCCCTTATATGAGGTGTCACATGCATAATGACACTTCCTATAAAGGTATTCTCCATAACTTATACGTAGAATTAAGGAGCATTACAACTCTCCTTTTCTCTCTCTCTTTTCTTCTCTCTTTTTTTTAACATTTTTATCTCTTTCTTTTCAACTAAATACAAGAAATAAATATTAATAAAAATTGAAAAATAAAAATACCCAAAGTCCACAATTGCAGAGGCAGCCAAAAAATGGGTCACTAGTGCAAATTTTGCCAACATGGGGTCCAAAGTGAATTTTTCTCAAACAAAACTAGGGTCAAGAGTGTAATTTTTGCGAAGACATTGGTCACAAAATGTAATTTTTGCTAAAATATAATTCTGGACATTGCAATCCTCGTTGGCGCGCGAAATCCACTTGCAGAAGAATGGAGTGGTGCGTGGCAGCTTCTTTCGTCATGAAACTTGATGATTTGGCTGAGTTCCTCAAGCCACTTCTAGTAGAGACGCTTTCTTGATGATCAGATTACATGAAGGTGGTGAACGAGGATAGAGAGCGACAGTGACAGATATGGAGGAGTTTGAAGGGAGGACATGTTTGGTGGTTCAGAAAAAAAATTTAGGCACATAAAAGAAGATTACAACTAGACTCTGATACCAAATTGATGTAAAACAAGGAAAAAGAATGAGAAAGAGAAGAGGTTTGAGGAAGGGGGAAGGCACAGAAGGAGAAAATAGGACAGGGAAAGAAAAGTCGGGGGAGGAAAGAAGAAAGAACGATAATTGTCCATCTGATTCAATGATTCAAGTCTTCCATAGAATGAAAACCCTATAGCTAATTACACTAAAACAATAATAAAAATAAAAAATAATAATAACAACTAGCCCTAATAACAAAAATACAAAAATACTAATAAATATTCTAAATGAACCCTAAAATCATAATAAATCTAAATAACTCAGATATCTTAGAAATATAGTAAAATTATATTTCTTTCAATATCTCATCAAAGATAATGATGCTTACGTCGCGTAATAGGTGGAGTATTATGTGGCATGATATCCTACATGTCAAAGCCATCTTAGAATAATAGAGTCAACTAATAGTCTAAATTGACTCTGCCAACGAGTGAGGTGACGTTGCTATGTTTTGGTAACTTGCAAGACAATATTGCTATAAAAAAAAACTTCCAGATACCCACAACTTCTGAGCAAAAACTTTGAGGATAAAATTGGACCTTGTTCCTTAAAAATTTGACTATCATTTGTTTCTTATCAATAGGCCCAAAGGCAGTATTTGTGATCAAATATAATTCACCCATAAACATAGAGAGCTTTCAAAAGGCACAAGTTGTTTCAGGGAGCTAGCTCATTTTTCTTACAAATGAATCTTCCGTCTAATATCAGACAATTTGTTTTTGTAATATGAATATATATGGAAAATTGCAGAATGGTTGCTACATGTACATGTATTCAGAAAGTTTAAATCCTAACCAAAGATATCATCAAAAAGGTCCAATCAAAGAAAAATAATCTATATATTGTATTCTCCTTTAATAACTTCCCATCAAAATGTGATTTCCTTACTATGGCTTTTTCTATGTAATAAAACTTGCATACTCATTACTAATAAACAGTTTTTCCAAACTCATCTGAAAGCAATATGGCAGCTATATCCTACACAATTTAAGTTACTTAGGCGCATTTTAATCAGCACTTTGCCGGGATTAAGAAGCATCTAATTGTCAAAGGTGTATGAATAGAGAGATAATGATGGTAACTAACACATCATCACATCTTGCGTTTATTTACATAATGCATTCAAACGAGGGAACATGAATGACTATAAATAATCATTCAATACAGAAAATATATTAAAGTTTTTGGATAGCTAAGGTACATAGATTTCTTGGAGAAGAAAAGTTTAAAGTTTCCTTCTTGAGCTCAAAGTATGTATCAAATGAGTAAACATATTTTACATCTTTCACATGAAACAGAAACATCACAAATCCCTAATCTCTATCTTCCTTCAAATTTTGAGAACGTTAAACTATTGATGGAACCAAACTCATCATTATCATAAGTTTGCCTTGTAGTGTAGGGCATGGTTTGTCTGAGGATGAATGCTGGTTGGCTTGGAGGAGGAATATCCATATTCTCACTTTGAAGCATTGACATGACAGATGCCATAGTAGGTCTATCTTTTGCAAGTTCTTGTACACATAGAAGACCTATATGCATGCACCTCAATATATCCTTATGAAAGCTTGGATCATATATATGTGGATCTATCAGAGGTGTAATATTGGCATCCATCCATAATTTCCATGCCTACAAATTAAGAAGAAAAATTGTTAGGGGTTCAACTTTAATTAATTTGATGTTACATTCAATAGCACTAGGCATTTTAGTGTTTTTCCAAGAAAGAAGAGGCTTACCAATCCTAAAAGTGTAAAAGATTCTGCATCTTCATTGAAACTAGTGTTTTTCCTTCCACTAATAATTTCTAGTAACAGAACACCAAAGCTAAAAACATCAGATTTCTCTGAATAGAGTCCTTCGGTTGCATATTCAGGAGAAATGTAGCCACTACAATTAAACACTACACTTTTGAGCTCTCAATATGCTATTAATTTTGTTATAACATGAAAGAAAAATGGAGCACTTACTATGTTCCGACAATTCTTTCAGTATTTGCATGATCAGCATTGCCTCCATAAAGTTTAGCCATTCCAAAATCTGATATTTTTGGATTCATCTCTTCATCTAATAATATGTTACTTGCCTTCAAATCTCTATGTATAATTTTTAATCTTGAATCTCTGTGAAGATAAAGCAATCCTCTAGCTATTCCCTCAATTATGTTGAAGCGCTTTCCCCAATAAAATTTTTTTTGGTGCTTTAGATCTGCAAAACATTGTTTTAGGAAACATATGATGAAGGCAAAAGTTTGTAACAAGACTTTTCACTCACTTCCTACAATGTGATAGTAAATGATGGTAGTAGTTAGCATGCTAGCTGACCATTATATGTTTGTGACTTATTAACTACTTGTACCTTAACTATTACTCTACAAGACACATATGTACTTAGAAACAAGGGAAGCGCTTCTAGAAACGTCAACAAAGTAATAACATCTTGTAAAATGAGTTGAAGTTCTAAACTCGTGTTTCTTTAGACATTGAAACATTCAATTTATTCATAATTAAGCATGGAAGATGTGCACTAACCGAAGATATATAAATCCAAACTTTTGTTTGGCATGTATTCATAAACCAATATTTGTTCTTCTTCAACGCAACAGCCAAGAAGTTTAACAAGGTTTCGGTGTTGAAGCCCAGAAATCAACTCCACTTCATTTATAAATTCTTCCATACCCTGTCTAGACAATTTTGATAGTCTTTTTACAGCTATTTCCTTCCCATCTTCCAACTTTCCCTGAAATAAAATGATTATAAAAAGCTAATTTCTTATGAACTGAAGCATGATAATAAATTTTAAATAGAAGAATGAAAATAACCTTGTAAACTGGACCGAACCCACCCTGTCCAAGTTTATTTGCTATGTCAAAGTTGCTTGTTGCAGTAGCTAGCTTTGTATAATCAAACAATAATAGCTCTGGAATATGGACTTGCTTCAAAGCCATAATCCTAGTGTCATGAGTCTGCATTTCTCCTGTGTTTAACACGTTTTTTCCATTTCACTTCCTCAAAAAAAGTATATTGTTAATATAATACCAGGTTCTTAGAGAATGAGTTAACTACATGAAGTTGTCGCATATTCTCTGTCAAAATGATGAAACACAAATGTTTGAGAATTTGTCTAAGATTATATAATTAAGATTGAATCCCATCAAAATAATTTAAAACAAAATCACTGAACCCTTGAATCAACTTTTAAGGTAAAGCTGAAAATAACCTTTTCTCTTTGAGCGTTTTTTCCACAAGAAATATGCAGATGCAGTAATGAGAATTGTTCCTACCAAAACTGATATTATAATAGGTGTCGTCATTTTCTTCCTGCCCGTGCCTGTTTCAAAGAAAAGAACAACGTTCAGAGAGCTTTCATTTTCTGACAATAAGTTCAAAAGATGCCAAATACATTGTCATCCGATCCAAAGACGTTAAAAAGTATAATAAAGTAAAATAAAGCTCCCCAAGTTTTTATCATAATATTAAATCGTTTAGCAATAGGCGCCACACTACTTGATCCTTGAAAGAAAATTGCCCCACACACATTTAATAAGAACTTAAGATCAATATAGATTGAAAATAAACAATGAAGTAACATCGTTCCCAAGGATATATAATATGACATACTACCTTCGATTTCTAATATAAAACCCAATTGATTAATTTAGGAAGATTAATGAAGTTACTACATTATTTAATTATAACTCATGGTACATTATCTCTCTAAAATACCTATGTATATTATTAAGCTATATATCAATTTATAAGTAAGGTAAATTAATTTTAAAAAAAATTATAGATATAAATACTTATGTCCGTTTGGTATGAGGGAAATGGAAAGGATAGGAGGAGAGGAAAATTTTCAATGAGCTTGATTTAAAAAATTAAAGAAGAGAGGTTTTAAAATTTTAATAAAAAAATATGTGAGATAAAAGAGCAATAAAAATTAATTAAACCATGCTTTTTCAATTTTATAAATCAAGCTCATTAAAAATTTTCTTCTCCTCACCTCCCCTCCATTTACCTCATACCAACATAGGGTAAAGTAATTTTAGCAATTTTCTTAATCTTTCCTAATTAATTAATCAACTGAGCCTTAATAATATTAAGGAGAGGATGTAGTAATATGTAAGCAGTCAAATAGCAATATAGATCATGGTCAGATGAAGTTTAAAGTCGTGCCAGATCTTACAGGAGTGTACTTTAGAGGTTTCTTGAAATAAAAATACATACCTAGTTCTGAGTAGGCTAAACGTATGTAAATGTCGAGTCCTCCATATGAGAAGCTTTGTATGTCAACTAAGTCTGCAGTCCAAATCATACAGCCAAGGTTTCTTTCAAGGGCATAAGCTTTACAAGAGCAATTCTTGAGGCATGAAGTTTGACAATCTGCAGCATCCGCATCATAAGTAGCTGACACCTGAGCATCATCTGGAACTTTCACTTTCTCCACCATAAAAAACCCATCTATTTTGCCAGCTTGAGAATCATTTGTGCTTCTTTCACACTGAAGTGCTACTCTTCTCACACACCCACTGGTCCAATTCTGCCTTCCCCATTCTTCTTTGTTCTTTGGTTCAAAGCCTCTCAGGCAGCTACAGATTGGGGAGCTCTGCGAATTGCAAATCCCAAATTGGCCACATTTGCCATAAGCATCACACTGTGAAGATCCTAATGACCTCAAAAGTTCCCATGTATGTGTCTGGGGATTCCAACGTCTTCGCTCTAATTTACCTTGAGGAACCAAAGTATAAGCCCAGATAACATTGTATATATAAAAAGATAATCTAGAACTGTCTTCATCTTCTTCCATCCGAATCCCATTTTGGTTGTTAGTTGAAATTACCCTAGTTATCCCAAGAAAGTCTAAGCCATTCCAAGGACCACTGCGCCATCTAGGACGAGTTCCTTCCCTCAGGAATATTTCAGTCACGTTACGGATTTCAAGAGCACAAGAAAATATTCCATCAGATGGATCAGATGGACTTTTCCATGATGTAATTTTCACTTTCTTGCCTGTTTTTCTGTAAGCAATCAATTTCATGCCTTGTAATAATGTATTACTAGGATGTAGGAAGCTCTGCCACCTATATGCCCCTGAACTTCCATCTGCAAGGACGAGGTTGCCAGAATCTAAGAGTTGAGCACTGGAATTTGATGCAATATGGGAGACATTTGTTGACCAAACAACCTGCTTTTGCCCATCCAAAACGACAAGATTGCCATTTTCTGATATTGTGAGAATCCCAGAAGAATCTGATATTGGGTTGTTTTTGTTAGCAACCCAAACAATAGAGGATTTGGTCATGTACCAAATTCCTACGTAACGATTGGTGGAATTTTGAGGACTGAAGAATCCCAGCGTGAACATGTTATTCCTTGAGCTCACTGTTTCAGGTTCTTGGATCAACAGAGAAGATGTAATGGAATCCAAGGCACAGACCATAAGAGTAGAAGAGAACGAAAATATAAGGAATAAAGCAAGTAAAAACCAAGCTTTTTTATCGAATCTCATGAAGAACATGATTATTATCGAAAATTAAGGAAGAAAATGGGTTTCGGAGTGCTGTGAGGGATGATAGCCCATATAATATAGTCTTTACTCTTTAGAGCTATTTAGTTTTACTTAGACTGTGATTCTAATGGAGGACGAAAAAATATCAGCAAAAATTCGGAATTTTCGCCGGTCTTCTAAGACGGCTGCTGAACCACTTTTTCGTCGCATTGTACAATTATTCAATCTTCTCATTAATCGGTCCTCAATCCTACAACAAGTTGCAAACTACAGAACTTTGACGAATACCTTGGCAGTGCTGTGATTTTCTCAAATTTGGCTGCTCCACACATATTTAAAATTGAAGCTATTGAAGAAATTAAAGTTCAGTCTATTTCATGTTGACCAAAACCAAGTGAAGTCTTTTTCACAACCCAAATATAACTAAATTATATTCCAATTTTTTATTGAAAAATAACACCAAGAATTTTTGTGTATACATGTGTTTACTTTTTAAATATGAAGATCCATCTGTTAGGTGCGCATAGATGTATAGAAAAAGTTTTAATTTAAGAATAACACTTTTATTTTTCAACAAAAAGATTGAAAAATAAAAAAAGAAGAACAAAAGGTAAAAATAATGCGATGGCAAAAATACGAAGTCTTCTAGGTGGACTGGGGACAAAAATACGAAGTCTCCTAGCGGATTGATGTGACGGCGTAGCTAGCATGTCACTACACCCTAATGAATTGGACTTTTTTAGTGGAAAAGTCAAAGATGTACCTAAACCGTAATGACTTGGCTTTCTGACCATTGATCATAAATTTAATTCGCTCCCAGTTGGTGGGTCAATGAAACAATATGCTTTAGGCTAAGAGCACATCCTATGCTCATTTTAATCCGGATCAGATAATCTAAATTGAATTCGGATGGTTTAATTCATTTTAAATTTTTTATATTTTAAATAATTTTCATTTTAATAGATCCTAAATTTAAAATAAGTATGCCCTTGTAATTAACACTTCTTAATCAAAAAAATAAATTTATCACTGTAAAAATTACAAATAAAAAAATTTTAAATTTCAACAATTCATGTTAGATTTTGAATGATCCAGATTTTATCACAGCAAATGAGTACTAAATGGAGATCCGCTTTACACCAACTTTTTTTGCTTGCTTCCAACGGAGGAAAGGAAACGTCTGTGTACTTCATCTTATATTTAAGGCTTCTTCATAAGAAATTCACTAAAATCCTTATCATTCTTAAATTATATTGTTTTCGAAGATAAAATTTTGCTACATCTCACTTTATGAAAAGGAACCAATAACCAGCAACGGAAGCCATCGTAGACTTTTTGAGAATTAATTAGAGACAAGCAGACTCAAAGATTCAAGCTCAATGTAATATTAATTTTGCTAGTTATTTTGCAGAATTTTGGGTTAACTTCAAGAATATAATTCGTAACTTACTATAGGAAGCTCGAATTGAGCTCATTCTTGTTTCCTTCCAAAGCATAATCAGACCTCTCTATAGGAAAAATTTGAATAATAATTCAAACACGTCAATTTATACAGTTTATTAACAAAACTTCTCTGCTTCTCCCACGCCAATTTCCAAATTTCTTGTCTTCATTTTGAAAATTCATATCATGGGCTACACTTGTCTTTTAAAAGCTTTGAAAGTCTGCTCTCACAGAAAAACTATACATGACTTCTATCATCCAATTTACTCCAGTTTGTTTAATCTATAAACCTGTCATATGGGCTCAATTCACTTTGTTCAGATTATATGTACTTCTTTAATTACCTAGCAAAATTAAAGTTTGTGTCTTGAGTTATATTACTGGATTCCATTTATTTAGCTTGGTTAAGGACTTGTTATATACATTGGAAAGATTTGGAAGTTGTCTAGAGGATGCAAATATGAAACATCACTACAAAAAAATTGACTTTCAGCGGCGACAAAAGTCGCCGCTGAAAGTACAAAAGTCGCCGCCGAAAGTTTTTTGCGGCGACAAGTCGCCGCTGAAAAGTCGTTGCCGTAGCAGCCGTGGCTGAAAACTTTCAGTGGCGACTAAAAAGGTCGCCGTTAAAAAATACTTTCAGCGGCGACTTTTAGAAGTTTCAGCAGCGACAAACGTCGCCGCCGAAAGCACTTTCGGCAGCGACATTTGTCGCCGCCGAAAAGCCTTTTAGCGGCGACAAAAAAGTCGCCGCAGAAAACACTTTCGGCAGCGACATTTGTCGCCGCCGAAAAGCCTTTTAGCGGCGACAAAAAAGTCGCCGCAGAAAACACTTTCGGCGGCGACACTTTTGTTGCCGCTGAAAGACTTTTCGGCGGCGACATTTGTCGCCGCCGAAAGTGTTTTCTGCGGCGACTTTTTTGTCGCCGCTGAAAGGAATGCCTAAGAAGAATTGGCTTTACCAATGCCACGTCATCACCGCCGGTGCCACATCATCGTCTCCGACCGCCACGTCAGCACCGTCGACCTCCACGTCATCGCCATCGACCGCCACGTCATCACTAGCCACCTCCACGTCATTGCCACGTCACTCCTCCTCGCCACGTCATCGTCTAAATATTTTCACCTTAAATGTGTCTTCTTCCAGGTTCGAACTCGTGACCGCCTCCCTTCGTGTCCAACCTTCTTGCCGCTGAGCCAGATTGAATTTGTTTATTAATATTGTAAAATAAAATATATATTATTATATTATACTTTCAGCGGCGACAAAAAAAGTCGCCGCTGAAGGTCTACTTTCGGCGGCGACAAAAAAAGTCGCCGCTGAAGGTCCATTTTCGGCATTTTGTTTATTAATATTGTAAAATAAAATATATATTATTATATTATACTTTCAGCGGCGACTTTTTTTGTCGCCGCTGAAAGTCCACTTTTGGCGGCGACAAAAAAAGTCGCCGCTGAAGGTCCATTTTCGGGAATTTGTTTATTAATATTGTAAAATAAAATATATATTATTATATTATACTTTCAGCGGCGACAAAAAAAGTCGCCGCTGAAAGTCCACTTTCGGCGGCGACAAAAAAGTCGCCGCTGAAGGTCCATTTTCAGCAATTTGTTTATTAATATTGTAAAATAAAATATATATTATTATATTATACTTTCAGCGGCGACAAAAAAAGTCGCCGCTGAAAGTCCACTTTTGGCGGCGACAAAAAAAGTCGCCGCTGAAAGTCCATTTTCGGCAATTTGTTTATTAATATTCTAAAATAAAATATATATTATTATATTATACTTTCAGCGGCGACAAAAAAAGTCGCCGCTGAAGGTCCACTTTCAGCGGCGACACTTTTGTCGCCGCTGAAAGTCTTGGTTTCAGCGGCGACTTTTTGGTGTCGCCGCCGAAAGTCGTCGCCTAAAGTCTATTTTTTTGTAGTGCATGAGTTTTGTTGGCTCAGTGGATAGCTTTTAATCAATAATCTTAATGTAGTCAAGATCTTTCTCTACCTTGGAAATTATCATTAAGATTTCCATGACCAAAACTGGATTCGTTGTGATCAACTCTGGGGCCCATAATTGTTTCTTTGATTGCTATTTTTGCATGAGAAATTAAAGTGATTATGTCATCTCTTGTATGGTTATGCCTTGGCCATGCGTATGTCTCTTGATAATCATACGTCAACATGAAAATGTTTGGCTATTGTTTTAGAGCTTTGCAATGATCATGGCATGCTTTGATGAGTGATTGTGATGGTAATTATTCTTCTGAGATTTCCCCAGATTATAACCATTTCTATGGAGCAAGTATATCCAAGGAGAAGTGAAAGAATGTGTCCAAATGATTGAAGAAAGTTTATAGTTCCTTGGATATTTATTTTCCGAATAATGTTCATGGAATTCATAAACAGTTTTTTATAACCCTTTAGGCCACATGTCGTCCAGCATTTTTTTCTGGATTCTATTACTAGATATATCTGAGCGGTTGACTAATCTGGATTGAGCTTCATATGACTGCCTTGAGCGATAGATTCTCCAACAAGTTTGTTTGGATGCAACTGTGTTAAAACTCGTTGGGAGAGCCCACCGCCCAAATTGGTCCTACAAAGCTCGATCTGGATTGGTCGATCACCCAGATACCTGATAATAGGATCCAAAAAGCGTCGGATACTAGGTTGACCTAAATGGTTAAAAAAAGGTTTATGAATTCCATGATATTATATTGCAATGTCAGTCGATGTTTTAGTATTGAATTATGTTGTAAATACTACTATGTCTTTAAATTTGGACAATGATGACCTGCATGTATATACATGCACAAATATATGTTCAAGAATGTGCGATTCATGTTCAAATGTAAGTTTTTTTTTTAAAAAATACTTTTGTCACGGTTAAAAGTCAAAAAATTGTTGCTGAAGGTTTGTAATAGCAACAAAAAACAGCTGTCATGTTGCTGCCTTGGCGATTGTAGCTCATATTTTCAATGGCAACAAAAGTTGTCGCCAACCATAAGTGAAATGCCATAGACAAAAGTCACCCTTCACTATATGCCAAGGTACTAAAAATCGGACTGGTCACTGAACTTGTTAACATAGTGGGTCAAGCGTTAGTGGATCAAACCAGAGTCAACTTAGAGTCAGACCGGTGATAATTAATTTAATTTAATTATATAAAAATATTTATTTTTGATAATTAAAAATAATTTTTAATCTAAGAAATATGCGAAATGAATAGCTATGCTAAGTGTTCAATTTCATTTTAACATGTCAGCTTAACAGGTGATGAGCTGTGATGGGATGCAATTTTTCTTTTTATTTATTTATATTTCTATCTTTTCTTTTGTTCCTTATTCTCTCTCCTTTCTTACGTGTTTAGCATGTATTATTGCTGCTTAGTCACCTCAATAGCATAAGACTACTCCTTAGTCATCTCAATAGCAGAAGCCAGCCTTTTCTTCTTCGTTTTCTTTCGCTCCGGTTTGAATTTCTCATCAATGCTGCTTTATTTGTAGTCTCTCTCTTCCTCTCAACACAACTTGAAAAACAAACCTCTAGTCCTCACAATCTCACTCTTCCTAATCTTTCTGATCCCCTTTCTT